CTCACCTTCAGAATGTTGGGATTATTTTTTGTTTTGTTTTGCTTAAAGTTTCTAGGCTCAGTTCAAGAGGATTAGAGTCAGGAAGCTTTGCGTTCAAAGCCAGTGGCTCAGCCATTGTCTTGACTTCAAAGGATGTATCAGGGGATGTTTATCTTCTTCCCTCTGAACTTTCCTTCTGTTACCATACTCTTAACTCAAGCATCCTTGGAAGGTAGAACTAGAACTACACGCGCTAGTATAAATCAAAGGATTATTCATAAACACTGTGATATATAAATATTAGAATACTACAAATATAGAAGAAAATAGTAGGAAATACAAATATTTTCATGGCGTGACATTTTCAGTACATTTTTGCTTTCACCAAGTTAAAATAGCGTCAGTTGCCATCAAACCTCACTGTTCTATTGTGCTGCTCTCCAGTTAGCACCACACGGACTCTTAGCCGTGCAAAGCACAGCTCCTTAAAAGGATGCTTTGATGACTAAAGTCACAGAGCTCCCAGTTCATCACTTCTAAAGAAAAATGTTGATTCACGCTAGGAAAGGGACTGAGTCCCACAGGAGACAGGCTGCTGGGAAGCTGCGCTATATCCCCTGCCCTGATCTTTGGGCTCTCACCTTATTCCTAATCACTTGTCCCAGCACCAGTAAAACTCTTTCCTCCTTCCTCCAAAGTTTGCTTGAGAAAGAGTAAGACCAAGATTTCATTATTGCCAAGGAAATCCCACCAGGTCCCACTGTCCTCTCTCCCCTTCGCCCTGCCACTCGCCTGTCCCCCTCAGAGAGACCGTTCAGCTCCCTGAACCAGCACAAAGGTAATTTAAGAAGAAAACTGAGAAATTATTATGTGTGTCCTGACACTTTGGCATCCTCCACAAGGACAAAGCTGAAAGCAGCCAGGAAACCACTGAGTCCTTCGCAAAGAAAGCAAGACAACGGGCAAGGGCTCTGCCAGACAAGTTCTGAGCCAGGCTGCTTGAGCTTACTCCTGCCCTAGAAAATCCTGAGCCACAGCAGCACTGCAGAAAGTCACCTTCACCAGTCTTCTGAATTCACGTGCCAGAGAGGAGCTGAGGGGCTAAGGAGCCCTGCACTGTGCTGGGGAGGAGAACGATGCTCCTCCAGCTCAGCACAGATGTCCATGATGAGCAATAGTCAGTTCTCTGGTTTCTGCACGTTTGTGGATGGAGCTGAGCAAAACAGCAACACTGGTTTAAGGTGCTCTGCTGCCTTGCCCAGGTGGGGAATTGGTTTCTGTGCCGGGTCCTGCACTCAGAGCCTCTGTTTAGGGGAGAGCAAGAAAGAAACTTTTATTTGGAGATACTGGAGATGTGGGAGGATGAAGGGAAATCTCTCCAACACTAGTCACTTGAAATCAGAAATCAAGGCTGAAGAGCTTGAAACTTTGGCAGTTTACAAGCTGATCCAACAAACCAGCCAAGCACGCCCACAGCAGAGAGACTGAGTCCGCACATAAACAACCAATACCTCAAATATCAACATCCGCTCCTGGGACAGATCTCGCTGGCTGTGTTCACTTCACCCATGGGAAGGCTCCAGCACCATCGTGAAGGCAGGGGAAGATGGAGGTGGGCAGTCACACAGGCTGAGGCACTGCAAAAGCCAGCAGGGACGCGAAGCCTGGGAGATTCCACTGTCTCCATTTCATCCTTTTGCTGGAAAATTACCCCCCTCCCCAACCTGGAGACAGTCAGCTCAGGACTGTCTTGGGCAAAAAGAGATGGTGGAAATGGTGAAAAAGACGTCAAAGCGGGCAAAGGAGAAAAGCAGGGCACATGTGGTGAGGAGCCCAGATCCAGCCAAACTGCTAACCTCTGCAGGTGTCCACAACACACCAGCATTGATGGTCAAGCAGCAGAATAAACAACAAGAGCACTGACACTGCAGGAGTACAAACAGCTGCCACCATTAGTACCGAGAAACCCCACTGTTCCCGCTTCCCTTGTCAGCTCTGCTACAGGCAAAAAAGGAACTGAACCAAAAATGTCTCTTTGATGTCAGAAGCAGAAAGTCCCTACTGAAAGCGCTTACGTGGGGGAACCGCAGCCTGCCCTTCCCCTCTTCCGAAGGGTCAGCCAAGCACCTCCCAGCCCGCAGCGGTGCCAGTGGGGCGGGCAGACCACAGATGCTTGGCCAGCAAACAGAGCGTGGTGGAGGCTGGGCACACAGGCAGGATACAGATGAGCCGAGACCCAGTAAGAACTGATGTGCCTCTAACCCAAGCGCGGGAGTAGCGAGGAGGAGGGGAAGACGTCAGGGTGGTGGCACCAAGGAAGGGTCACAGGGAACAGGCAGGTGGGAGACAGCACATCAAAATTTGCTCCGGAAGAACAGAACCTGCTGCATTGAGCTGCTGACAAGCTAGGTCCTGGACTGAGCTGCTTCCTCAGCAGGCAATGGATATCACCATCTCCCAGAGTCACTCCCGTTTTGTTGACATCTCTCTTGGGATATAAGCTCCTCCAACAACTGCAGAAGTCAGGACAACTGGCTCGAACAAGAGGCCTCATGCTACATCCCCATAAATTACATTTAGGCTGCTAACCTGGGACAAAAGGCCTCTCCAAACCAGCAGGTGCCTGCTGCAGCACCCCCCGGCTGGTTTCTCACCCTGGGCAGAGGCTGAGTTGGCTGCGCTTTCTCTGCCAGCACCGCTTTCATCTGAAAGCCAGGAGGCACGGGGCTATCAGAGCAGGCAGGAAGGCAGTGCTCACCTGGCTGCTCTTGCAGAGACAGTTCTGAGGAACTCTGAGCTTCCACCCTCCTACAAAAGCTCTTGCATCAAAGTTTCCCTTCCTCCTCCTCCTCCAGCACCAGCCCTGCAGGTGCCAGGCAGAGCCTCTCTTCCCATCCCTGCATCTCTAAATTTGCCTGGTTGCTGAGCACGTCTATTCTCGGCAGCTAAAAGCAGGCGAGATGAGGGAAGCGAAGCGCACGCATCAGCCGCGTCGTGAACGATGCCAGTGCCAAGTTCTTCTCTGCTATAGCCAGTTCAGAGAGAGAACGTGTCTGATGCAGTACTCCAAGCCAAGTAATACCATTTGTTAAAGAAATCAGGAAAAAGTTCTTTCCATGTGAAACATCCAGGCACTTCTCAATTATCTGGGGACACAGGGAGAAGCAGAAATAGCCAAATTATAACAGAACAAACTCCTTAATACAAAAAAAATGGGTCAACAAAGGGATCAAATCACACGAGCAACATCAGGACAGGAAAGTAGTATTATTTTGGGACACCTAAACTGAGGATTGACATGGTACAGCAAAGCAAACTAGTCACCTTGGTCCCAACGCAAGTCCTGCTAGCCCGGAGCAGGTCTGGGAGAGCCTGGAAAAGCTTTCCACTCGGGGCTGCAGCATCTGCGATACAGCTAATCCTCAGCCAGTCCGGGAGGATTGAGGGTTGACAGCAGGGCTTGTCTCCACAGCAGGGAAAGGGAGGGAGGATGCTGTGCATATGCTGTCCACTCCCCCAGTAAAGCTAAGAGTAAAGGGACACAAATAAATAAATCAGTTTTCATATACATCCGATCATAGCCATCATCTGGGACTGGGTTTCCGAAGAAGTTAAGGGCAGCAACCCAGAAGGGTGTTATCGGGTCAGGAAAGCCGGTTATATCCATCACATCTTATCTCTTACATAATGAAAAATAAAAACAGTCCCTCCCTCTTGAGAGGCTTAATCCTGTAGACAGGATTAAAGTCAATGGGCTACCCTGGAGAGAACAATCCAGCGTTTGCTGGGTGATAGCTGAGATCATATCAGCAAGCGGATCGTAGGGCTTGAAGAGGAATTAGAGGGGAGCACAGGCAGCCTGAAGGTAGAAGAGTATTTTCTGCTTTTAGCTTCCCTAGTAATGCATGGTGGCATTTCAGGGAAAGCAGCTCCCGTTTTCATGCCTTGTTAATCTTAATGGTACAATCGGAGTGAAGCCAGGCCCAGCTCTGGTTCTGGCTTCTCTCAGTTCCCACTGACCGTTAATCCCAGGCAAATGCCTTTGATTGTCTTTGCAGCTCACCTCTTAGGCACCCCAAAACTTGACACCCAGGGTCAGAAGACACTTTGGAAAACGCTGGCTGCAGCCAGACTAACCTGGGTCAGAGAGCAGGCATTCCTCCCAAGTCATTTGGCAGCACATCCCACACCCTGGCGACTGCCTCAGCCCTCGTGCTTGTCATTTTTTCTACTGTCACCTTGTGGTGGCCACAAACTCCTGCACCTTGTTCCTGTCAGCTTGTAGGACTCTACCAGCCTCGCCCAACACAACTGAGAACAAACAGGCTTCTGCTAAGAAGCAGCTTCTCCGCAGCACCTTCCCACAGAATATCTGTAGCACAAATAGTTGTTTTGTGTTGGCCTAAACGGCGGCAGGAGGGCTGCGTGGGTCAGGCACAGCTTTGCTCTGGAAGAGGAGTGCCCTCTGCTGAGAGAACAGTCCTACAACAAGCAACACATCTCCAGTTCCCTTCACGCAGTGAGCACATTGCCTCGTGGATCTGGGACACAACCCGGGACAGATCACAACCCAAACACCAGGCACGTGGATGCAGTCCATTTAATAGAGGCAAACAGAGGGGCCACAACAGCGAGACGAGACAGACTGAGGCATGTCAGGTGGGCAGGAATGAAAACAACAGGCAGGAGAATGTGTTGACAGATCTAAGACTGAAGAACTGTAGGTGCCATGTCTCTCCAACGCACAGAGCCACCTCTTTCTCCATGCTGGACAAAGTTCTGAGGTCTCATCTGTGGTGGCCAGAAGAAGGGAGGCTGGAGAGAGGTATCTAGAGCTGGAGGAGCTGCCCTCAGCATGCTCAGCGCTCTCAAACAGGAGCACAGTGCCCACCTGCAAGGAAAGGAGCAGCCACCCCAGCTGCTCCGTGCTGCAGAGAGGAACCCCAGTGCAGAGTTTCAGGGCCAAGCCCCAGACCGAGGAATGCCACAGCTGCCTCAGTGCAACTCACCAGTCCAGCCTCTCCTGCCCAAAAAGCTAGGGAGCTCCACCAGCAAAGATGAGCTCCAGGGCAGCCTGAATGTCCCCTCCAGTGGCTTGCAGGGCCCGAAGACTCAGTTCATCATCATGTATGCCCATGTCTCGCAGCTGCTGAAGCTGTGGTTGCCACTGGCTCTGCAGACAGGAAACAAAAGCAGCGAAGGGTAGGCACAAGAGTCCAAGAAGAAGCAAACCAGCTTTCTCCACAGCTCGCTCTTCCACACTGGATTCTCCCACCTCTCTGTGGCTCACAAGTACAACACTAAGTGCACAGACAGATCTCGAAAGCTCAAAGTCTTGCTGCAAACTCCCCAAATCTACCAGCCCACCCCTCCCACTTCCACCCAGTACTTTTGCATCCATCTATCACCCCTCCTGCAAGCGCCACTTCTCCAGTGATGCCCCTTTCAGCTTCATCTCCTGCCGCAGGAGGCGGCTGGAAGAACCACCTCCACCCCGCAGCACCTGGTGCAATACGGGGCTTTCGGGGGCTCCCAAAGGCAGAGGCTGCGACACTGACCTGCAGGCTGGGCTGCCCTGAGGCCTGCAGGGCATGCTGCAAGGCCTGGCTGAAGAGGTCGTTGGTGATGGGTGTTCCCGACTGGACACTAGATGACATCGGGGAGGTCCCTGAGGAGTGACCCTAGGAGGAAAGAAGTCACATACGGATCAGGAGAATGCTTGTCACAGGAACCAGAACCAGCACGGGGCAATGCCTGCTGCACCCCCACGATCATCCCTCCCCAAGCCCATACACAGGAGATCCCAGCCATAAAAAATAAACCAGCAATAACTCCCAGACCTGAGCAGGGCTTGCGCACGGTCAAGCGTTGGTTTTATGGCCCAGGAGGATCTTCCTGTGCTGCCATCATACCTGGGTGCCCGGGGTGGGCGTGTGGGAGCTGCTCTCGGGGGTGCTCGCCAGTGCCAGCGCTGTTGCCAGCTCGCTCTGGGTGATCGGCCGGGGTCCAGCAGCCCCGGTGTAGCCAAGGGAAGCTGGGCGGGAACCAGAAGTGCTGCTGGATGGTGTAGATCTTGTGCTCTGCATGGAGGAAAAAAAACCTTTCTGATGTTGGTGCCCATGTCCCAGTAAAATCTGTCTCGTGCTCATCCCTGGAGATCCCTTTCCTACAATATTTGAAACTCAAGTGCAGAGCTTTTAAAAAAATAAACACAAAGGAATCACATCTGCTTTCTTCCACAAACCCAGCTTTTTAAGAAGCTGCAGAAACTGGCAGTAAACCTTTTAATATATCATCCATCAGCTTAAAAACAAAGTGTTATTGGCGTATAACAAAACAATTAACTGTTGACAGACACTTTTGCCTAACATGTAATTCCTATTTACAAAATACCTCGCTCTTTGGAGAGGAACACCTCCCTATATTACAGAAGGCCAGGGACCAACACTCCGGTGCTTCTCAGCCATGCTCATCTGTGCACAACTCTGGCCCTGCATCAGTTGGACTAGGAAGGTGTTTGCTCTGAGAACAAGTGCTGTTGCAAGCCGTGCTTCTGCGTTCTTCTGTTGTGACCCTACCTCAGCACTCAAGGCAGTCCTAAGATGAACATCATCCAAGGATGCTACCATCAATAAATTTGTCTCCACAATACCCCTAGAAGCCAGAGCTGCTCACATTGTTCTTGAAATAGAGAGAAAACTTTTTGAGTCTTTAAGGGCTGTGAGTTAAACCCATAGTAGAAGTCCAAAACAGCCGTTCCACCCAACCCAGCCGCCTACCTGGTGGAAGTCATCTTCATCATCAGAGAGACCTTCAAACAGAAAGCCACCTGCAACACAAGGGAGAAGCAACATGCAGAAAACTGTGTGCTGGCAGGAATGAGGCAGCAGACAAGAATGCTGTGGAGTCTTTGGCCATGCAGCCAGGCCTGGCCCCAGCTAACGGACCGGTGAGGACAGAGGCCTCGGCACCAAGTCCATGTGCAGCAAGTCAGTGGAAAACAGGTCAGGTCCATCATTTGCACAAAACAGAGGCCGCAGCACTCCGCTACCAACAGCCATCAGACAGGCTTGGTTGGGAGAGGCGTTGAGGCTGAAGTGGAGCAGATGAGCCTCCCACAGAACAAAAATCTATCAAATCACAGTGACTGTTCCTAGCTCAAGAACCCAAACCTCTTTTCCTTCCAGCCTGGAGATGATGGTCAGTACAGCACAGATTTGTCTGCAAATCCTGCAGCACATCATCTCTGCAGGTTCCCCACTCGTCTGTGTGGCTGAACGTACCTGGCATGTCCCGGTAGGAGCCAGAGGCCATGCCTCGGGAGGAGGTCTCCGGGGCTGGGAGCGGGGTGCTGCCAGCCACCGAGTGCAGCACAAGCACAATGGCATTCACCAGCGCGGGGTGCGCTGGGATCAGCCTGGAGAGAAAGAGTGGAAGAACAAATCACGTACACAGGGAAACTAAGAAATCAGCAGCTTGACGCCGGCAAAGAACTTATGCCAGGGATGGCAGAGCCATCCTCGCTGGATGTGCCACCGCCACCTCAGATACTGCCTTTGGCCGTCCAGCAGCAGAGAGCTCCCCACCTTGTTCCACACAGCCAAAGCAGCGAGGCTCCTTCTTGATCCCATGCCGACCCTCCCACTGGATACATCTCCCGTATGCTTTCACAGGAGCAACACTTTGCTGTGAGCAACCAGATCTGGATGTGAACCCAGAATCCAAAAGCAATGATGGCCCTGTCTCCTACTAAATATCCTTTGTTTAATCCAACAGTGGAGAGAGGTGCACATGAAAAGCATCATCTCCCTCTTCCCTGCTGCTGGGGAAGGAGAGTCCTATCCTGACCCTCCAGCTTGGCAGGCAGGAGCAGAATGAACTCTGCCACCCAGGGAGAAGTGGTCTCATACAACAGTGCAACAAAGACATTGCTTAGTCACTGCACCAGCTTCGTGAACTTACGTGTCCAGCATGTTGGGGTCCGCAAACACCGAAAAGAGATCCTTGTCCTGCAGGACTCCTGGGAGGGACCAGGAAACACGACAAGTAAAAGACAGGATACAAGAAACAGGAGCCGGTCAAACAAGAGCCATGGGAAAAACCAAAAGAATTAATTGTTTTCCAGGAACTGAGTCACTAGCAGACACCATAAATACTCTATTATTGTTTTCTCAGAAGCCTTTTACGTCTTCTTGGAGAGACTCTCAACCACAGCCACGCACCCAAGGGATGGGGCTCTCCCAGCAGATCCCACGGGTTGTGCTCCACGGTAAGGGCAGGATCAAATGTGGCACCCAGCTCACTCCAGCCAGGTTGCGACTGCAGCCCAAGTCCCACCTGCCTCATAGCAATGTGCCAAAAAAGGCTACTAGTTTCCTGAGCCAAAACAGGCACACTAGATTTAACAAACGTTTTTGTAACACTTGGCAGCAGGGAAAAAACACCCACCCCCTGCTCTCCTTCAGGCTCCATGTTCCCCAATCCCTTTGGAGCCAACGCCATCCCCAAACATCACCAACAGAGCCCAACTCTGACACCTGAGCAGGCACTGACTCTTATGCTCCACAACGGGACTTTTTTTTCCTGGAAAAAGGGGAACCCTCCCTTGCCCACATCAGCAGACTAGCTTTATTTGGATTTCCTCAAATCCTCAGGGTCACATCTGGACTCACCCAAAGCAACAGGGTCGCTGCTGAGGCCAGGAGTAGCTACAATGATCTGATCCAGTGACTCCTTGTTCCCCAGCATTTTGAAGACCTACGAGACAAATGGGAGCAGATCAGCTGCGTCGCACAACGAGGCTCCACTCAAGGACTCTCTTCACAGAGAGGACACAGACAAAAGACGCCCAGATGGCAAAGTACGAAGCCCCACTCACCGCATCTCTGTAGGCAGGGCTGTTGTGCAGGGCAGTGTGAAGGACCCGGAACTCCCGTACTGCTGCCACTTTATCCACAGGCTCTGAGGGAGGAAAAACAACAGAACAAAACATGGTTCTCCTCCAACAGTTTTACAAGCCATTTCACACGTCACTGGGACTTTCACGCTGCAAAAGCGGTGGTGATTCTTTAACTGCCCTGGATTCACCTGACCAAGAGAGGAGGGGTACAGACTCATGATTGCGAATGTCTCAGTACCACAGTGCACTCTCAGCTTCCAGACATATAAAAATATACAGATCCATACAGCTCCTTTTGTACGTGTGGGAGGATGTAAGTAACAACTCTAAACTAACCCGTCTCACGGTACAGAGTAGGAACACACCCAATCCTGCTCATCCCTCAAACTGAGCAACCACTCCCTTTGTTCCCAATTCTCTGGCAACACCCTAAACTTAACCCTAGCCAATTAAGGAAGAGATATTCACTCTCCACATTACACAGCTCATTCCTTAGCTCTCCCATCAGCAAGAAAACATAACACCCATTCGCTGCTGTTAGAGGTGGAGAGTTCCCACACAAACATATCGATCGATTCCTCCTGCAAACCCCACATCAGCCCCCCAGAAAAAAAAAAAAATCTCAAGAAAGCTGGTCCAGAGTCACAAGGGACCCACACCAAACCCATCCTGAGGAGATCTAAGCAGTAACTGACACTGTCTCCTCCTCACCTGGTTTCTGATCAGGCTCAGGCCAGGACTTGCGCAGGACGTGAACAGTGGAGCCAGACTGGATGCCATAAAAATCAAGCGTCTGGTCATCCCTCAGCTTGCGGCCACAGTAGATCAGATCTGGGAGAAAGAAACCTCTCAAAATAAACATCTACAGCACACTCAGAAAGGCCTGGGGCCTTTGCGTGAGGACGGCCCAGGGGTTATTGCTCCACGCACGCAGCTGCTTCATCTGGTCAGCAGCACAGGGACCCCGTAACAGTGAAGCTACAGAGCCAAGATTGAGGGAGGAAACCATGGAGCTGAGATTCACAGAATGTGACTGCCACCTGCTTTAGAAGGGCCAGCCTCTCTCACAGTTCTCATAAAAGATCTCACACGGACACATTGGTAGGAGCAAGTCAAAAGACTTCTTAGCAAGGGCACCAACACTGCAGGAGCACTGATCCCGAGCAAACATGGAACAAACCATCCAAATCACAAGGTAAAAAGACAGTGGCAGCACAGCAGTCTCTGGAGCAAGCTTTGAGCCCCCACACCGTGCGACCTGGTTGTGCCAAGCCCCCCCAGCCCAACACCACTAACGGCAGGATGCTTGTGCCCCAACCACGAGGAGGAGAGAAGAGGGTGGCCCCAAGTAGCAGGGCTCTGACACAACCCACACAGACACCTACCGATGAGCTCAGGGTCTGGCACAGACTCCTGCAGTTTGCCGGTGATGAGCTGCTTGAGGTACGAGATGCTGCACCCACCGAGCGGGCATTCTCCCAGCTCTGTCTCCGGCAAACGTAAGATGGATTTGGGAGCCAGCGGCTGATCTGCCAGCTTCACCGCGATGTGCCACTCCGGCAGAGACATCCCGGCCTTCTCGCTGAACAGAGCCAACCCAACCTAACACCCGCAAAGCTCTGGAAAGGGAAGAAAACAAACCAAAGTTAGCTTCTCCCCCAGCCAGGCAAATCAAACCTCATCAACTCATGGTGCAGACCTTCGGTGGGGAGCGCTCGGGAAGCTAACAGGAAGCCTGAGCAGCACACAGCCATGCTTTCAGCTTCCTACCCCAGCCTTAAGCCACCGCT